TGTCTTGAAATTCCAGTAATTAGATCATTTCCCGACCGAACAAATCTTGAAGCTGCGCGGATGATGTATGAACTCCATGTCATCGGCATCGATATTAATCGTCCTTCTTATATCGCGGTGGTCAAAAGAAATATGGCTATCCGATGGCGGGCATGCGGATAAATGGCGTGTTTCGGCGGCTGCTTTCTTCCGCACCCTTACATCTGTAAATCCGCACTGTTCGCGCGGGATTGAGTGGCCCCCAACGATAAGCCGAAAGAGCAACGCCTGCATCCCGTCGTTCGTGGAGAACGCCATATTTTACAGTATCAATCATAGCGCGCAATAAACGACCCCGTAAGGGTGGCGGGGGTTGGGTTGCTAAGATACAGAACCGGTTAATGGGACTATTACATCTAGGCCGAGCTACCGTGGGGCTGAATCCACGGAGAAAACCGGCAGGGTAGCAAGCAGGAAGAAACACACCCCCTGGGCTAGGGGGTGACGTCGTCGCAACGTGCTACCAGCTGTGACTTATGACGTATCACGGCGCACAAGCGACATAGCCCCGTGGGTGAGCTTCAAAACTGAGCTACGCGTTCAATAAGTCATGATTTATCGAGAGGCACGCCACTGCCAGGCCTTAAATTGTTTTTGTCGCAATAACATCGCCGGTTTGTCGACGTAGCAGTGGAAAAATGACAATATAAGAGAGTTCGCTCGCGCAACAACGACCATTAACTTCGAATAAAACAATAGCTGTTATGAGTGACTGATAACTCGGATAAGTACATGCAATTTTCAACAGTTAACATTTCTGTAAAAAAAATTTAAAAGAGAGTATAAGCACGTTTATATATAATCACTCTTTTTCAATTCGCTAAATTTTCTTAATTCAGCAAAAGTCACGTAAATATGGCACGAGTCAAGAGACAACTATTTTTGGGATTCGTTTTAATTGGGAATAGTTGCATGTCGAAAACCGCGATCGAAAAGCAAAAAAGAGGATTTAATCCGCCAACAGTGAAAAAAACTATTTCGTTTTGCTCGTATACAGCAATCTTTCTGAGCGGATTAAATCTGCGCGGAGAATTTGTGCGCGGTCGGTAGCCGCTACCGTTGGAACGCAGAGAGAGAGAGAGAGAGAGAGGGGAGGGGGAAGAGAAATAAAAATGGTAACGATGCCCGGGATATTATCGACAGATTAAACCGCCGTTCATTTGCACGTCTACTGTTTGAAAAGTAATTACCTCGTTGTCATCGACAGACCGCCATCGTACCACGCGGTGACTCAACAGCTGGCCGAGGGCGAACCTCTTCATTATTTTCCAATACCTCTGTACTCGGTATGATATCTATGGGAATAGAAGTGTGTACCGGTTTCATGTACGAGCGAGTTTGCGATTGGAATGCAGCGACAGCTTGGAAACTGGCGCGACAATCGTATTTGCACTACTCCTATTAAATAAACTTTCCCCACACAGCCTCACGTACACACGCTCCCGCAAACACACATTTTCTTCTTGCTCTAGTACTCTAGTCGAACTTTTCACAATAGACATTCAAAGACATCGACGAGAGAACGAATGTACGTACAAATCAGATTTAACCGAGCAATCTCGAAATTTAATATAGTCGTGTAAAACAGCGTTTACAAGTATGCAATTATCCAGCAGAGAAGCTTACGATTTGCAAACGAGTTAACGAACGAATAACAATGCAAGCAAGATTCTTAAGATACGGACGCGATAAAAAACGTTTACAAGCGAAACGATTGTTCTAATCTTTGTACGATATTTTGTCTGTAATTCTGAAGCGCGTATATAACAAATATTAATCAAAATATAACAAATAATACAACAAATCCAAAATTTAACGCGTTTACTATCTTTCGATTACATTTATATATCAAAATTAAAAGCATGCCTAAATTTCGACTTTTCTACGTTTCTTAACGTATTCTCACATTCGTTCTGCATTTTTCCTATCACTCCTCTCTCACTCTCTCTCTCTCTCACTCTCTCTCACTCTCTCTCTCTTTCTCCCCATCACCCCTTTCTCTTACTTTCTCCTCCTCTCTCTCCGTTTCTCTTTCACGCTCGTGAGTAAACATTTCAAGCGACTTTGAAATCGTTCACTGGTTAAATAGCCCCGCGACCAAAGCAATTCCGTGTTGGAGTGTTTCGAATCAAAACACCCTCGAACTGTATTTAGAAGTGATTGTCTGTTTGAGCTTTGGAGATTGCCAGCTTCCCGATTGTTATTGACGTGCAAGAGCCGAGAGGGAACACGCTGAACATTACTGATTATAAATCCGGTACTTTGGTCAGGATGCTACTAAAAACGCACATGTAGGATCATTAATGTACCCCTCAATAACTGAGCCTAGCATATTTTTAATGCGTATATAAAGATATCTTCTTCGTAATTTTGCTAATACTTTGATCAATTAAGGGTTAATTGGGTTAACTACTTAACCGTATTTCTACGTAAGACACGAAAATAAACTCGACAACATTATACGAGAACTCGCGATTTCGGTGCTCGAGAAATACTCTTAACAAGCTCGCGATTGAGACTCGTAATCGTGGCACGATCTCACGATTTGCGATCAAATATTGCATCCGCGATAAGTTTCGAGATTTTTTAATCATAAAGCATGTGGAACTTGTTCCACTTATATCTCTCATCGCAAAATTCAAATTCTCTGCGTAACGAGAAGGCTGATTTGCATAAAACACGTTCTCGGATAGTTACACGCGTTTTGCGAGGATTCGACCTCTCTTCAGAAGAACACCAAAAGCAATTCGAACAGAAATCGAAGCGAAGCCTTGATTACCAGCGTGACTAACGAGACTTCGTTCTTCGTCGGGAATGAGAAGGACCGTCCGTTCGTTCGTTCGTTCAACTCTATCTACTGAAGATCGATTTAGCAGCGCCGTGCCTCATCGATTCCACGACAATGAGAGATCGATTTCACATTTGTAATCGAGCGAACGCCGTGTCAACTTCTATCCCTACGTTCGCCCTATCCGCTCTTAAAAAAAGGGATAGAAAAGCGATACGATCGAAACGAAGAATCGACAAAGGCCATTGTAGCCCATACATAATCGCCGAAGTGAGAATTCAGGTCGAAAGCGAAAAGGGGGGGATCGAGACAGAGAGAAAAGGCATGCACACGTGGATGCAATAATCTGTCGCGAGCGCAACCACGCGCGAGAAAAATTTCGGAAATATTCATAAAAAAAAAATCCAGATCAAATCATATTCCGCCAAAAATGTGACGTTTCTATACATAAACAAACAATGTGCAAATGCGCGCTGCGTCTATTTTGCATTTGGCAATAAGAAAAACACGTATACATCAGCGCGAGAAAAAATTGTGCAATTCCAGCATTTTGGAGGATGCAACATCGCGATGCGAGGCGCGCAGCAAAACGTTATATTTTATATAAACACATAAAATACACGCATGTTTTATTGATCCGAAATATAGCCGGTTACACGCGCGCACGGATTATGCGTAGGCGAATGTTGCGAGGGATAAGCAGGAACGGGGAACACAGAGACAAATATTTGCCGCGAGATATATTAGAGATTGCGAGTAGGTCATTTTGGGACTACGTATGTGTATATGCCGGGGCATGTACATATGTGCATACAAAAGCATATAGACGCAATAGAAGCTCCATAACTTAATACACGCTGTCCCGCTGCACGCGTAGGATAACGGCACGAGACGGCCCTGTTGAAGGATAGCCGATGTCGAAGCGCATTCTTCGTCCCGCGCGCCATCGATATCACTCCGAATCCGACGTCGTACGGAGAAGCTTTGGTGTAAAGAAAGTTATGTAATACACCGGGTATACGTATGGAATTAAGCGGAACGAGAAATTCCTCTCGAAAAACACCGACAAGCCAAGGATATTGTTTAATGAGACGCGCCGAACGGCGATGAAAATTTATATTGTATTTATATCGCGCGCAAAATAATCATAACAATTCTTGCAAATATTCGTAAACATTTGTATACATTTAATCGAATATCGATAACAAAAATAATTCAATGGAAATGAATTTCAAAATCGTGCGGCGCGGGAGCGCTCCCCGCTATTGTTTTATTTCGCTCGCTGTATGCATGGGTATCCGTAGGTGTGAAATAACAAACACCACCACACAAGCGGATATACATATGCCGTATATATATATATACATACGGGGCATGTAAACAACGGCCAAAATTTCGCGGCGGATCAAAGCGAGTACCAATCTAAGCCCGCGAGCGCAATGCGACATTTCGGAGCAAACTCGACGGAAATCATAAAGCCCGATAGCTAAGCAAAGAAATGACTAATACTACGTTTACGCGAGCGTTACTTCTGTAGTAACTTACGATAATTTACTCCGCGTAAACGAGTGATATATCGTAAGTTACTACAGAAGTAACGCTCGCGTAAACGTAGTATAATTCACACAGTTATTAATTTTCTCACTTCCGTCAACTCGCAGTCGCGTATTGCACCAATTGTCCGAGTGCTCCTTAATGAAACGGAGTCGCAAAAATATATTTTTCGACACTCCTCAGATTATTTGTAAGACTGCGTTCCAAAACCACACTCTTAGCGTAAAGAGCGTGCTCTGCCCTTGTCCAACTTTCTATTAAGTAACAAAGATAGAACGACGCTCGAGCGTTAAGAGCATGGTTCTGGAACGCAGCTTAATTAACGCAACGTCGCGTACAGCGACTAAAAACTTTGTCGACCGTACGAACGTAGCACGACGTTCAAAATCGTTCGCGTTGGCTTTAGGTACGAAAGAAATGCAAATACTGCGTCAATGGCGTTCAACTTTTCAAACAGAAAGGCGTTATAGTTATAGTACACCATCGGACGCAAAACGAGAATTCGTGCTCATTGACGTGTCCGCGATTTGACCGACTCTCGTCTCGCTACCACGCGAATGAATGATTTCAGGTTATCGCGCGGAGATAAGATCTCGTGCCAAGACCTTGAAGCACTTACTCGATCGATGTCGCGTTCACGCGAATCCCGCGTCCCAGGCTGCCGTCCTGATTCCGATTGCGAGCTGCTGCTGCCGCCGCTGCTCCACCGAGGTTTTCAGTCTATAGCACGATCGTTCGTTGGTTTACACTCACCCGACGGTTAATCGCGACGTCACCGACGAACTAATCGAGCTGATCGCGCTCGCTTTCCCGCTTTCGCTAGCGAATGCGACGCAAGCTCGCCTCCTCTTCAAATCTACCGCCGTCACTCGCGCGCGCGTTTGCTCCGTGACACGACGCCGACTGTTCGAATCGCGCAGTCCTCCTCGCACCTCGGGCTCCTTACGTCGTCACGTAAACATGATCGCGCGCGTAAACAGGAGGAGCGGTGCGTCGCGCGGTCAACGTTAACGGTAGGCGATTCCCGGAATCGGCGTTTTCTTCGCGCTCGAGATTCGGGGGAGATCGGGGCCGCTCGACCGTCATCGGTCGCGCGACGCCGGCTTCGTCTCCGCTGCGATCACGTCGATCACGTCGCGCGACAACTTCATGCCGCTCCTCGGCGGCGAGATGTGGCTCGCGCGAGATCGCGGCGGCGATGGCGATATTCACCCGCGCGCACGTAACGAAAGCACGCACGCAGCACATACACACACACACACGCGGCGAGCGGTGAGTGTCCACTCGAATTCTCACTTGCGAATTCTCTCACCGTGAAAATCCCGGAGCGACGACGCCGGCACGGCGAGAGAGAACGATCCCGGCGCGAACTTGGGCGCGTTGCTCCACCGCGGCGGCGTTACGCCGCTCGACGTCCACATGTGACCGCACCGAAACTGGGGCACTTCTCGCGCACACGTCTCTCTGTCCCTCTCTCTCACTCACCCCTCCCCCACGCCGAATCTATCTGTGTCTGTGTCTCTTTTGCTCCTCGAGGGAAACGGAGCAACGTCACGGCACGCGCGCGCTCGCACGGCGCGACGCGGCGCGTTGTTCCCCGCGAAGGAACGATAAACGGCCGGACGACGGACGGCACCTCGAAAGCTACGCGACGGCCGAGAGAGCGTCGCGGAGCGAAAAAGCGCGACACCTCCACGCTCGCGAATCGGCCCGGTAACTGAGTCTAGCGGCGTAGGGAGGGGTAGCGACGTTACACTACGGAGCTGGGGTGGGGCGGCGCGCGAGGGCGAGGGCGACGGCAACCGCGCGAGAGGGAGAAGACCGAAGATACACCCATGCCGCGCGCATGCGGCACTAGCGCCATCCTCGTCCGCGCCAACGCACGGCGGCCTCGCTCTCGCCCTCGCCCGCTCTCCGTCGCGCTATCTACTCGCGCTCCCTTTTCCCTTCCCTTTCTCGCCCACTCCTTATCTGCCGTCCCTTCGCATCCGTGGCCCGTGCACCGCGCCGTGCCGTCTACCCGCGCTACTTTCTCTCTCCACTTCTCGCGCGCTTCCCTCTTCCCGTCCTCGTCGCCTCGCGCGTTCCCATTACTTCGCGCGTCCGTTCCGTTCTCTCCCGCTCGCGCGCATTGCGCCCTCCTCCGCGCCAAGTTTTCTCATTCCTCCCGTGCCTATTCGTTTCACCGTTGTTTTCGTCCTCTCGTTCTTTTCGGTCGCGCGTTCTCCCGCGATCTATTTTTTCCTTCGTTTTCTTTCTCGCGCAGTTACACCTTTTTGCTCCGTTTCTTTTCCCGCCTTTATCTCTTTTGCTTCCCGTTTCACTCGATCGCGGCGCCCGCGCCGCCTTCCGCCTTTTCTTCCGCTCTAATCCTCTCCTCGCCTAACATTCGTCACCAATTCTCCTCCTTCGTCCCGCTCGTCTATTACATCCCCGTCCGACGGACTTCGCCTCGCACCCCGGTTTCCTTAGCTACGATACCCGCACCTTCTCGTCGCTTGCCATTATTTCGCCGGAACGCTGTTAACCGTAACATCGCAAAACGATAAATTAATTTGTTCGTAGCAACGATGGCCGCGAGCGTTTTCATGGCGTTCCAGTTACGAGTTTACGTCAGGAAGAACATCCAGAGATGTCCATTACGGTGCATAATTGCAGAACGGAGAGGTAAGTGGATCAACTTGCTATATCGCATCTTCTCGAAAAAGGCTCCGTCGGTGCTCATTCTTTCGTTCTCGCGCTCCTCCGAGGTGAATCGATGATAGACAAAATCGATTGCTAGTACGCTATATGCGTAGCCGAGCGTATCATTTTCGTAATTATTTGTGTAAAAGATCTTATTGATCTCAATCACGTATAATAAGAATTAAGCGATCGTCCGTTTCAGACGATCTATAATAATTATCTGTAATGTAATTTAATAAATATAAATAAGAACTTGGACTGATATACAATATATATGGATAACACAAGTTTAGACAAAAATATTTTTTGTACCTAATAATAATATTATTCACGTGAACTTATGTACATTTCTTCGTCTTAGCAAACTTAGCAATAATTTAATTATCTCAAATATAATTATCTATAATAATCGTTCATAATAATTTGCATTAAATTCCAAATTGTGCATTCCAAGTCTTTAAAAATTTTTCGTATCGCACGAAACAATAAATACATTTTATCCCACATTCTCGAGTGTGAATTATGGTCTAAATTATATGTATAGAAACGTTATATGTATTTACAATTTTCTATGTACGGTATTAATCGAATAACAATCGTCAGCAAGCGCGCATATAAACTTAGTGATAGTACTTTGCAATGTTTACTGTAACCTTATACGAACGACGTTAATATATTTCAATATTCCGCTTATGAATTCTAATTTATATTTTATGTACTCTGTTAAATAATTTCTGAACAAGTGAGGGAAGACGGAAGGGAGGCACGCAGATGTGGAGAAAAGCATTTTGTAGCTTTGATCTCGGTTACAAACGACGACTTCCGTAAATGGAATTTTAATACGTTCTGTACGAAGATAAAACGCTTATGCGACTATATACATGTACTTTCGATGTTCCACCTCAACGTTTTCATACATCGTCGTATTTATATTTTATAATACGTATCTTACACCACACTAGTAATATCTGAGAAGGCGAGATATTACCTGTGTGTGACCAACATCAAAAAAGAGAGAGAGAGAGAAGGGAGAGAGAGAGGGGGGGAGGGTTCTGTCGCTTTGATCTCGGTTACGAACGACACAACAGATGGAATTTTAATACACCTTTTAAAGGGGTAAATCCTTTACCGGAAAATACGCAAAAAGCAACTTTTTGCCGACGTGTTAACTCGATTCGCGTTTCTCGTGTCGCGTCATCAAGTAACAGCTAGTCGCGAAACCATCGATGTTCTAATTTACTAAACACTACACACGCGAAACTCGTAGCCTCCGTCAAGTTTACGCGGTTCGCTTCATACATCGACTCGCGATTAATTATTCACGAATGCTCTTGCCTTTCGATATTCCGAGAAATACGGAAGTTTCTCGGGCTCCTTTACCTATACGCCGTGCCAAACCGTTCGAAATAGCTATTGACGTTACGTAATGTTCGGAACATGGAATCGATTAATGCCACTCTGGTACATGCACCTCAACGAAACTGACATTTATTATGAGAAAGCCCATGCATTGGACATCGTACCTCGTACGAGAGAGAATGAATTGACGTTCGCGAAAAGTTCGTATTTTCCCCGGCAATGTGTACGAGATATTTGCATAATATATTATCCGAACATGTGCTGCATAGACTATTCGAAATTAATCGATGTTAAAGTTTGAGAAACGTCGCGTCTCTTTAATTCTTTTTTATTTAACTCTTAATTAATTTTCAATACTAGGTATTAAAAAAGTACTGAGAAGTACTTATCGGAAACTTTCTATTAAAAGTTCTCTCTAAATAAAAAGATGCGACAGTATTTATTACTGCAAGCAATAAGAGAAATCAGTCGTCTCTCCGCGGATCTTTATAATTACATCTAACAAAACGCAGAATTAATTCGTGATTCGTTTCAGATGAATCTCGATTCCGCATAGACGTTCGACCGAATTACGAACAAAGTTAGTTATTACACGTCGCTTCACCCATCCGGTCCAACTATGCCGACAAACTTGTGTCTTAACTAAACACGATGGCCAAATGTGATTATATCATATATGTGTTCGAGACACATATATACATGTCAGATACGTGAGTTATAACAATGATCAGCTCGTTATCAACATGTCCGACCGAGAACCACAATAGGGCCCCGACCGGCAGTGGCGCTTTGCGATGTCGCGTGGTTGTTGTACGCCACGTATATGAGCATGATAATCGCAATGCAACCGGATATATGCAACAGCGACAGGTCCGTGCGTCATTCGCGAGCCGGCGAGTATTGTACATTCTATTCAGGTATATGATCAATAATAGGTCGCGGCATGACGGGGCTGAATTTTTGACAGCTCTTACGCGCGATCGGCTCGTTAATTCTCTATATTACGAAATAGCTCCGTAATATATATTTTTTTGCGCCCCATTCCCGTTGTTGTGCTGACGACGCAGTGTGCGTAATACCGGCGTATGACGGGCGATGGCCGCTCTTTATTCACCGTAAAACTCTTATCGCTGTCGCTCTCCGACGCGTTTTAATCCGAGAGACTCAATACAACGCGTTTTAACGCGACGATCGACCGTGACATGACATTTAAACGCTGACATTTAAATGCCGCTTAAATATTAAAGTTTTCGCCGCGGCGTCATTGCGTGATATTGAAGAAAGGACAGTCGGAAAATTCCGCGACGATCTCTCGGAAATGGTCATCGTATCTCCTCGTAAGGATCCGGAGTTACTACGAAATCGTATACTCCTCGCGTGAAGCGTAATTTGAAGTCACTCTCCTCCCAGATGCCATAAAATATCCGCAAGGATCCGCGCGCTATCGGAGTCCGGTGGGAATCAAGCGAGAGCCGATCCGGCCGATCCATTCACGTAATCTTCACTGGAACGGAGGAAATTTCCGTCGTTGTCAATCCGTGATGTGAAACGTCCCTATCCCCTGATGTCGCGCGATACTGACGTTTTCCGTTCTTGCCTCGTCATTCAATATTTTTCTCTCTATCACGTGTATCCAACTCTATCCTTTTAACACAATCGCCACCCACGTTGCCATCTGTCACGAATAAAAGCATCTCGCGATTTCTCAATGAAGGATATAATATCGTATCTCGCGGTTAACACTGAACGAGTAGATTCGACTTTTAATTAAACGCCATTCAATTACAGCACTCTTTACATCCGGTTGCCAGCTTACGCGCTGAAATACAGAATGTTCTTCATCGTTTCACTGCGAAATAATGCAGCTTCCATTTTCTCTCTGTGTACTCCTACTTTACGAGGGCGTGGGAATATAGTGTTGTATAAAAGTGAGATCGCGCGCTTATCTGTAACACGATAAAGTCGAGGAGGAAATAGAACAGAGTCCAATAATCTGCCGCTCAAATTATATTTGCTCCACGATATAAAATTATTGATGAACGTTTTGCTCAAAATTTTATAACAAACTCAATAGAAAGGTCGTATCTGCGTAGATGAAACACACATATTTAGTTTATGATATGCTTACGTTACCGTTGCAAGTAGTTCAAAGCCAGACGAATCAGACGGATCAGACGGATGTAATTAGTTGACCAGATCCACGGCGAATGCTATTTCTCATAAAATTCCATTTTTCGAGCAAAAAACCCTCGAATGGAGAAAGAATTGCACGCTCGACCCCGCTCTTCTTCTCGAACGCCTTCCAACATCTTTCTTTCTCGTCTCCACCCTCGCGCGCGTCTAGCTACTTCTTCCGTGCATATCTCTTCCTCTCTTTCTTTTTCTCGCCCAGCATTCTTCCCGTTTCTTTCCCGCTCCCGCTTTCTCTCTAGTCGGTCTTCGGTGTCGGTATTTATAGCGTGGAGAAACCACAGAGTCCCGGGGAAAGCTGCTCAGCAGGGTGGAAACTAGCGACCGAACCCATGAACCGTTTCTTCCAACGACGTCCAGAGGGGCGTCCAGAGTCCCCCGTCCTCCTCTACACGCATTGCGGAGAAGAAGCACGTGGAGCCCGGTATTCCAGCTAAAAGCCTTAATCGCTGTTTTTA